ACTGCTAAACGGATTAAGTTAAATCACGAAGATTTTGTGTGGACGGAATCAATTGTTATTGGAAATACTCTGGCCTGGCATCGATTCGATCCTTGATGTTTGTCCTCCGACGATGATCCTACTGCATCAATCGGGCCCGATCTCTTCCCCAGCGGGCCAATACGACCCCCCCCCCTGTGACATGTCGAGGATTCCTCAACGCACGCTTGACCCTGGTCCAAGTCGCATAAAGAGCTTAGGGGTTGTCCATGGACTTCATTCGTTATTCGTGATTAAGCGCTGCCGAGGTAAAATTAATTGTGCTATGTTTTTTTAGCATACCGTCGGTTCTTCCACACATTTGCTTAAACCTTGGGTCTGTGAAGTAACCATAGTACTCCCGTATTGTTTACACCAAGATCCACACTTTGTCACCATTGAGGGTCCAACGAGACCGACGAATTGAAGTGTTTATAAAGAGCTTCTCCTTTGAAGCTGTAGTTCAATCGGATCATCAAGAAATAATTGCGTAATAGTTCCGATTTTTTTGAAAGGATACGGGGAGCTGTTATTGTACTGTGATAACACTGAATGAGCTCTGCCCCTGCATCGTACCGAGTACTTCTTAAAAACCTTCTGGGGACTAGTCAACCATTGTAACAAGTCGACCAGTTTCGCAGAATTACCTAAGGTAAAACAGCGGTAATCGAGCCTTGTCGTGGAAAAACGGCCTGGAGATTCACATTCAGGGTCAAGCGTGCGTTGAGGAATCCTCGACACGTCGCAGGGGGGGGGTCGTATTGGCCCGCTGGGAGGAAGAGATCGGGCCATTTTGATGCAGTAGGATCATCACCGTCGGAGGACAAACATCAAGGATGAGTCGATGCCAGGCAGAGGATTTCCAATAAAACGATATTCCGCCCACATAAAATTTTCGTTTCGAAGGGGTCCGCGTAGTAATTCTTAAGTTACTCAGATTTATCACGACACAAGGTTAAAGAATCCGAAATTCGCACGTTTTCCAACGGATATTTTATCTTTCAAGTAAGTCCACGAATCTGAAGGGATGTGAAGCACACGGCGCATCCCAGAGTGGGTCCAGTCATTGCGCGCGCTTCAACTACGGCTCTCTGAAGAAAAAATCTCAATTCAGGAAATCAAGAGGATTCTGAAAGGGTCGTGCGAAATTACAGTTACAGGGGAGAATACACTATTCAACAAGAAATGCAGCCTTCAGCGTCAAATTCATAAGCATGTAATCGTTAAAGTTGAGATACGCTAAACAATTTTACACTTTTTGGAAAGAGAAAAGCACGAGGATTCCGAATCTGCTCCTACTTTAGTACATAATCGCCCTGAAAGGAGCTACACAACTTGAAACTACTGTACTTGAAAAAAAGCTATGGTCGTCGAAATTAAGCCAATGCATGAAAAAAGTGCCTTTCGTGGTGCTCGGGCAAAAATCCTCGACGAGGCCATTTCTCAAATACTGAACCATTGACCGTTGTGCACTTCTAGAAACCGTTGAGTAGAGCAAAAGTGCTCAACAGGTTCAATGTTTGATAAGGCCACGTTCGCAGCGTTTTTTTTTTTTTGCAAAATTAACGAGTAAAGTTCGAGATGGGCGCAAGTTTTTACATTTTTTCAAAGCATTGACTCCGTTCAACTTGTCAGTCTGAGAAGTTAATACGTCACCATAAACTGGAGGATTTGCTCTACTTAAATCCTCTAGTTTATGGTTTTTTTACATTTGTAAAAACTTGCGCCTATCTAGAACTTTACTCGTTAATTTTGCAAAAAAAAAAAACCTCGACGTGGCCTTTTTCAAATATTGAACCCGTTGAGCACTTCTCGAAACCGCCGAATAGAACAAATCTTCTGGTCTTGTCTGGCATATTAACCTTTCAGATTTGACAAAAATGAAACATGTTATAGCTTCGGAAAATGTAAAAGCTATACGCAAGTTAAAGGAATCTTGCGCGGAAAAATCATGATTCTATTTCAGCCATAAATCACTGGCTTGAGACTCATTATCCACGATAATAGTGAAAAGAACTGAAGTATTGCTTTCGTTTTGATTAGAAATTCGAAAACTCGAAAAGGCTGCTACGCGTTCGAATTGCCCACGGACGTCTTTCACGAATGCTGGCGACGGGGATGCTCAACTTGGTTCTTGGAGTGCATTCACTAGAAGCTCTTTCTGGCCTTCTGCTTCGTTGCATTCACATCTTACACTTCTACTCCATCCTATTCCATCGATCGATTTGTCTCCACTCTCCGAAATCGCGCGCTTTAACCCGATTCTCTCATTGCGTCGCCTGGTACGTAGCCGGCCAAACGCCGTCTTCTTTCCATGCCTCGCCTGGCTCTGCCTCCTGGTCCTTCGATGGTCCATAACGTGTAGTTTTTGTACGTTTGTTTCTCTTCAGAAACCGAATCTTCATGCGTGAAACTTTGTGTGCTATTTCCAGTGATCACAACTGACATATTCATGTTAGGAAAGAGTGCAAGAATTTTCCGCGCAAGATTCCTTTAATATCGTTATCAACCTAAACCTTGACCTACTCCATGATAACTTTTTGTAATTACGATACTGATTAGAAAAAGCTCTTCACAAAACTTCCAAATCTGCTTTCAGATTGAAAATTCGTTAATTTGAAGAAAGTTATAATCATTTGAATATTTGTTCAAATTTCAATAGTAAATAAGCTGCTCCACGGTCAACGCCGAAGTTCCAATTGACAATTAGAAGAACTAGTCGAGTTACAAGGCTTCTGCCAACCAAAGGTGGAGTTTAGAATTAGGAGAATATCTGGTAAGTTATTACGATTGCTAAGCCTATCGAAGGAAAAAAAGGAAGAAAGATGCTGCCATAGCCTGCTTTTTTCATGACTAGATCGTCGTTTTTTGCCTTATTTGTTGAAAGGACTCTTTGGTGGTGATCTTTTTGAATTCTTTATTTTGCTCCTTTTGTACCTATTGACGACTTTATGGTGGAGGGTGGGGTGCCCGTGTTTTTTCAATGAAAGGTTTTTATGGAGGGATCAACAAATTTTCATACTTCGCCTCATGAGGGCAGTCGCTTCTGGTACTTTAGCCGGTGGGGAGGAGGTCGGGAGAATGGAGTCCTTTTTCAAAATTTTCCTCGACGCCTCGCTTGACCCTGGTTAGTGTACGGAGCGCAACTAGTGAATAAATTAGGCAAATAAATGCATGCAGTTAATTGATTTATAGAGTTGATTGAGAGTTAGTATATTATTAAAAGACTGCATTTTGAAATGTACGTACCGACCATGATGAGTACAAATGCAAATAGCCATGGATGCGCCACTTCGGGAATTTGATTTCTCTTGTCAATAATGCAGCATACGAAGAACACCAGCAAACCAGTGCCACAAATCTAAAATGTTACGGTTACTCGGGTCACCATCCATGTGGTTGATTTTCAAAAAATTTCATACTTAAGCGAGCTGTTTGAGTACGTCGAGCTCATGATTTCACACTAGTACTACACTGCCCTCAATTTGCTTATGCCACCCCTATTTCTTATTTTTCTGACTTCGTTGAAACTTTCATAAATCAGCACAGCAGCGGCTATTCCCGGCGCGTCTCAAAACTGGTGATAAGAATGACGTCGTTCCATTTGGATTAACGCAGCATTCAATTTATTGTGTTCTTTTGAAAGAAAATGGGCTGTGAAAATGGAAAATGGAAAATTGAAAAGAATGTCAATTGTTCATGCCATCCTAACTCAGCAACTGTATGCATATCCTAAAAAAGATAAAGGATAAAGCATTTGCCGTTGATCAATCCCTTTTTGGGATGCGGCACGCATTCTACTTCCATTTGTACATTCGTAGTGGCGTTTGAATGCGATGTGGCCTATACAATGACTTGCGGGGCCAGCCGATGTACAAGTCAGTGTTTTTATCCCAGACAAGTCTGGTACCAATTAACCGACCCCGGAGGGATGGAAGGCTTGGTTGGCCCGGGCGACTCACGACCCAGGATTTGATCTCGTGGTAAGCGTGCCACTTCACCACTACACTACTTCCGCCATATGCATGTGCTAGAGAAAATCTTGCGCTTATACGATGCACGTAAAGGGCGAAGCATTTATAACTAACCATAAGTAATTCAGAATATTAGTCTTCTTTCTGAAGGCAGCGTTTGGTAATGGAAAAAAGCTGTGTTCTGCCTTTTGCATTCGGTGGTGCTGTTTTTGATTGAATACAGTGCGTAGCACATCTTGGCAAAATCGGAGACTTTGACCTGCTCAAGTAGACTCCAATTCACTTTTTGGAACATAAATACACTTTCAATTTTCATGTGGGTCTCAGCACCCGCGGTGCTTGAAGCGCTTACGCTAACAAGGGTTCTCTTTAAAGACTGTATGATCCGTTATCACCATCTGCATGATATAGAAAACGCAAATGCGGCCCGTGAAAAATTATGAAAAAATCGTAGCTGTGAACTCCCGGTACCGATTCCGGTTAGCACAGTGCTATTAAGGCATACCTGATCGAAAAAACAAGTAAGATTGCTGAGATGAGGATCTGGAAAGGAACAAAAGCAGCGAGCAGTGCCTTTGTGGCCGATGATCTTATGCTCATTCCCTTCAAAGTTGACAAACTGATCTGAAATGGCTGCACCTCAGTTGAGTGATTACTTGAGAACAAATTAAGTCTTCGAATAATACTCTATTGAATACGGTAATATTCGATTTTTGAGCATGGAAAAACAATGAAGAAAAAGGTAAGCTGACCGTAGTAGAGCCCGTAGGCTGCAGCGGCTCCCACAAATGCTCCAGCCGTTTGCACAACAAAGTAGATACAGAAATTGAAAAAAGATAGCTTCCCAAATGTGAGCATCGTGATGGATACGGCAGGATTGTAATGGCCACCTGAGTCAAGTCGTGATGGAGACTATTTTGATATTTATGCATTCGCTCTTGAAAGTATGGAAAACAGCCTCCCAGACTGACTGATTTAACCCTCTGAATCGTGGTGGTACACAGGCCGCATTGTGGTTGTGCATGTAAGGTTGTCGAAAAGTCTTTGGTTATTTCCATCTGACAATTGCAGAATCTCTAGAGATGGTTTCGAAACGTTCACTGTAGCATGTGGACTCTGATCGAAGGCTTTTTTTGGAATCTTCTTGCCGTAGCATTTCTCAATGATAACAGCTGGAAGTTGTCTTCGATTGGAAGCGTATTCGACTGCTCCTGATTTCATAAACTCAGAAAGCGCATAGTAGAATCGATGCAGCAAGACGCCTACGTTTTGTGGTGGATCTCCTTACGGCCTTCCACGCAGGGTCAACCGTCACGTTGGACCGATTTCGAAAATTTTACGACCCCCCTCCCCTTCTAGAGGGCCTCGATACGACCCCCCCCTCAGGGTCAACCCTTCACCACCCTCGCCTGCCATCGCCATCATGGGGCTCATTCTATAGTATTCGATTCTGAGACCAGTCGACACAGCCCAATTCTTCCAATAAATGTACTGCTCGAGCGGCGAGCGGAGGGTATATACCTATCACGAAACCGCAGACACTTTCTTTCACTTACCTATTTCCACCAAGCATTTCCACTTGCAAACATTCCCTATTGGGGAGGGGGTGGGTTGTATAGGCAGCTACACACGCTACCTCGCGAGAGACCGAACAACCCACCCCCATTTTTGGTTGCCACCCAAATAGGACCCCCTCCCTCATACTCTGTTGGACCTTGTCCAACGCACGGTTGACCCTGCTTCGACGTTATGGCAACCATACAAACCTAATACATTAACGTATGTGTACCAACGCGAGTCAGTCAGTCAGTGAGATGTCAAGTATGTATGTATTACCATGACACAAATCGAGTCGTGTGGACTCCTTGAGATGAGCGATTATCTGAGCGGTTATGTGTACGTGAGCAACTATCGATGCAAGAGTATTGCTCACTATAACTACTGAATGTCTGATCTCAACGAGATCGAGAAACGATTATGTTAAATTATTTCAAATTTTCCCTGGAAAGTGTACCGGACAGTAGTCAGGCCTGCGATGCTATACGGCAGCGAGTGCTGGCCCCTGAGCAAGAACCACGAAAGGCAGCTTCACTCCGCTGAGATGAGGATGCTGAGGTGGGCCTGCGGCTGGACGCGGCTGGACAGGTTAGAAACGAGGATGTCAGAGCGGTCATGCAGACTGCCCCTGTCCAGCTGAAGGTACGGGAACAGCGTCTGCGATGGTATGGGCATGTGCTAAGGAGGCCACAGGATCATCCGATAAGAACAGCGATGGACTTCGAAGTGCAAGGCAAGCGACCGCGAGGAGCCCCAAAGAAGAGGTGGAGAGACGTAATCAAGAAGGACCTAAGTGAAGTCATGGCCACAGCAGAAGATGCCCTGGACAGAGCAAAGTGGCGACGACTGACAAAGACAGCGGACCCTGCGACTGCGCGGGACTAACGCTAGGGAGAAGAAGAAGAAGATTTCAAAATTTTCCCTGGCTCCTTGCTTGACCCTGCTTTCGCAATCATCGTAAACTTTTCCGCATTTCAGCTCTCCAGCTTTTCGTACAAGGCTTGTTCTGTGTTCTTCGCCTTGGCGACGGCAGCCTTAGCGAGCCTCTTGCAACTCTTGTAGGCAGCGAGGTCCTCGGGGCTCCGGGTCTTCTGCCAGCGCTTGTATGCTTCCTTCTTCTGCTTCACGACTCGCTGGACCTCCTCGTTCCAGAACCACGCTGCCTTGTCTCCTCTGAATCCACCTCGCGTCTCGCCCAGTACCTCCTTGGCACATCGCAGGATGGTCTCAGCCGCGTTGCCCCAAGTCCGCTATTGGCCCGTTAGGATCTGGGAGACCGACTTCCATTATCTTTCGCCTGAGGTCATCCTTCTCCGCTTGGTGCAGCTTCCACCACCGGATTCTCCTCTCGGTTCTTACCCTTGTCTTCTTGGGGAGGTCTATCGCAATGTCTGCCAGGAGGGGCCTGTGCTGGGGAGCCAGATCTTCGCCGGGTAGAACTTTGATATCCTTCACAGTTTTGAGGGTTGATCTTCTTACCAGCACATGGTCGATTTCCGTCTGTCTCCCTCCACTGCTGTAGGTTACCTTTTGAGTCTCCCTTTTCGCGAAGAACGTGCTGCAGACTGCCAGGTCGTGGGCTGTAGCCAGGTCCAGAACCCTCTCTCCCTCAGCGTTCCTCGTTCCTATCCCTCTACCTCCGTGCACCCTTTCCAGGCCTCTTCTGTCACTGCCGACGTGACCATTCAGGTCACCTGCTATGGTCAGGTAATCACCTTCCGGAACCGATCTTATGGCTTCGTCCAGGCTCAGATAGAACTCGTCCTTCTCATTGTCGGGGCAACCTTCCGGAGATTATGGTCCAGTACCCCTCCATCGTGTCTATCCTCACAGCCCATATTTGTTGTGACGGGGGTCTTCATCAGCCGGCCTGTCAACCTGGGCCTGACGCTGGTACTAGAACCATTTTTGCAATTTTTGCAAGGCATGGTTAAGCCTCGGCAGGGATCGAACTCGCGGTTTTCAGAGGTGCAGACATGAGTCTAACCTCTTAACCACTCGGCTATCCCTGCCCTTAGCAGTGAATACGATTGATGTGTGCTATGAAGACGTCGCGGTACCATCTGGATGCTAATTATCGACAAGAAGCTCAAATGACTCCGGCGAAAACGAAAAAATTTCTTCGCTAAGCATACCCACTGAACTGCAAATAGTTTACAGACGGAAGAAATTTTACTATGGAGTTCTCTTGCACGAGGTGCCTTTACATTTGTTCTTGAAGAAGGAACATTTTTGAATTTTCTGGTAAAAATTATTGTTGTTGATAGCCCTTCTGGAATGAAGTGGAGCTCAGCTGACTTTAGCTCACAATTAGAGCATGTCAAATTGAATAGTAGAAAAGGTAGACAGCCGTTAATTCTCTATCTCAACAGGAGCAGAGTTTTGAAAGAAACCCTCATACTCTTAGAACGTATGTACTCTATCAGAAATAAAGCGAAGAGTGAGCAAAATTACTCGCCTGATGTTTTGGCGCCGAGATACACACAAAAGCCCACTGCAAGGCCCCAACCGAGATTGATTTGAATCCATGTATTGAGTTTCTCATCAGAAAGAATGAACTGCATGATCGTGCTCAAACCGATGAACTGTAACTCATGATAAATCAATTTGAAGGGCAATCTTTTGGAACAGTTCATAATAACGGTCAGAGGTTCTATACATCTAAGGTTGGTCATGCACTACTTTTCCTACTTCAACCTATTCGATTCGCATCTGGTCCTTTGGCGTTGCAGAATTTTCAATGCTTGAGAACAAGGTAGGCACACAAACAATGCGACTGATACTGTCTGGAATTATTTGTTCGGAATTCACAGGATTTAACGATGTTTTGTTTCACAAGAATGCTGGGTTGTGAACAAAACTTTCGCCCCAGGCGGGACTAGAACCCGCACCTCTCGCTTTCCGGGCAAGTGCGCTACCAGTTACGCTACCGGGGCACCATTTCATGATTTCTGTTTTTCCGTACCTCGAATAATTCGCCGGCGTTGTTCTGAAATGTTCACTTGAATATGTCTCAGTAACTACAGGGTGTCCCATAAATATTGCACCACTTTTCTTTACTTGTAACTTCTTTCAAAATGGATGTATCTTCAAGAGGTTTTACAAAAATTTTAGCAATACATTTACATATTGAAAGGAATGACATTCATTGGATATGCTCCCCTGTTGTTGTGAGTATGGCTCCCAATTGCTTCGAACGCAACTCTACTGTGGCCCGCATGGCATCCTGGGGTTCTCTTCAAAACTTTGCAGAGAAAAGGCTCCGGCTCATCCGTGTGGATGC